AGGTTTTTTTTCCCCACCAACAAATTCCCCATCTACACAGGGCTTTTTAATCACAAAAACCTTATCTGCAAAAAGGATTGGAAGATAAGCAAATGAGTGCTCCATTTGCATTTCCTCTTGTGCAAAAAACCCACTGTGTAGACATAGCCATAGAGAGGCAGCAGTGTGGCGATGATGGGGGGGAGGGCAGGCTGGAGTCAACATGCATGAGAAGCCGGCTTTCAAGCCAGCTCCCCCCCCACGTGTATCGGCTCCGTGGACCCTCCTGTCCTTTTTGCTACCTTCTACAGAGGCAACAAGGCAGGGCGGGTGGGAGCCAGTGCTGTGGGGAGCTGGCTTTAAAACCTGGTTCCCCCCCAGCACAGCCTCTGTGGTACCACCTGTTCCCCCACCTCCAGATTGCTGCCTGAGTGGTGCAGTTGGCTGGCTTATCCCCCAGGGATGGCAGGGGCTGCCTGGCCCAGCCGCCAGTTCACCAGCCTGGGAACCTTACTTGTGTAGTCACTGGCAACGTCCAGAGCCCTGTCTGCAGCCAGCCGTTCTTACCAGTGCGCCTGTCTCCCTGTGATCATTATGCAGTGTAACTGTGCCTGCTAGCAGCCTCCTCCCTTAGGCTATGTCTACACTGCCCGTTTTGTGCAAAAAAAAAAATTCAAAAAACTCCTCTTGTGCAAAAATGGAGCCTCAATTATGCCAATGAAGTGTGGCGATATTCCACGCTTTGCCTCATTTGCATACGTTTTTGCAGAAAAGGCTATAGTGTAGACATAGCTTTAGTGTTTTATGAGAGTCGTATTCCAGGCAAATTCAATTATCCTGGCACAACCAAAACCTTACTTTGCTTAAGTAATAAGAGGAAGCTGCATACAAAATTTAATGGTCCTAGCTCTTACCATTTAAGAGGTGTTCTTGAATAAACAGACTCACAGGTGGACAGAAAGACACACACATTTTCTCAAATGGATAGTAGAAAGCCATTCAAGACTGAAGGAAATGCTTCATTAAAGTTAGGTATGCCATGTCTACCATTTTCCCCCTTATCCATTAGGCTTGTTATCCTTAGGGGTGTAAGTGACTAGATGACTACCTGATAAGCCTAGGCTTATTGCGTAGTCAAGCTGACTAGTCACTTCCCCCTCTTGCTGCCTCTGTATCAGGGGCAGCAAGGGAGGGAAGCAGGAGCCAGTGCTGGGAGGAGGCTGAGGTACAGTGGGAAACGTAAGCAGGGACTGCTTGAGTCTCCACAAGGCCCTTGCTACATTTCAAAGGCAGAGACAGCGGGAACCCGGGGCGAGCAGGGATTCAAGCAGTCTCTGCAGGCAGCTGTTCCTACATTTAAAAAGCAGAGGCACAACGAGGATAGCAAGCGCCCTGCCCCACCCCTTAAAAACTGCTTAAAAGCCGGTTCTTCTCTTCCTCCCCACCCCCCCTTGCACTGTCTCCGCAGAGGGCAGCAGGGAAACAGTGTGATTGGGGATTCAAACAGTCCTGCTCACTCCAGGCCCACTGCTGTCCCCTCCCTTTGGAATGTACAAGAGCTGCTGTGGCTCTGGTACATTTCAAAGGGAGAGGCGCAGTGGGATAGTGAGCACCCCTCCTTATCCACTAATCGAGTAGTCAATGAAAATTCCATTGACTACTCAATTAGCTGATTAATTTAAATGTAATATCCCTAGTAAGGAGCTAGGATGAGGTGCTTTACTCATCTAGGGTCCCAGCCACTGGCTACAGGGCTCTCCAGCCGTTCCCCACTGTGGTCCTAGCGTGGGACAGTGAGAGACATGGACAGGGGAAGTGGTGGGCCCCTGGGTAGGGGGGGCCCCTGAGCATTGGGCCATGCAAAGCCTTAGGATGCTGCAGCATCTCCCCCAACTAGAGTTGTGAAAGGTTAACTGGTAAACATCACTCTAATGCTTACCAGCAGCAGTAGGGACTGGAGCAGCTTCCTGCCCATCCTGAGGATGGCAGGCCTGGGAGTGTGGTTAACCAGTCAAATGTTGTTTAACCAGTTAACTGATTAAATGAGATTTTACCATCCCTATTTTCAGTTTCATATTTTTCCGTCCTAAACTTCTTTGCCTTTTCAGCCGCAGGCGCCAGTATCAACCCCTCAGTCTCCAAAAGCTGCAGTACCTTATTGACTTGGGTAGAGTGGACCCCACTCAACCAGTTGATTTAACTCAGCTCACCAATGCCAGAGGGGTGACAATACAGCCACTCAAAAGAGATTATGGAGTCCAACTAGTAGATGAGGTATGTCTAAAATACATTATTCTACTGGTAGTGTAAAGCCTGGTTTTGTGTTTTGTTTTGTTTTGTTCTCCTCTGCTGGAAGCATGATTACTTTTGCTTGTAAATAGAAGGCTAATTAAATTTGTAATGCTAAATCCACTAGAGGGCACTATGTAGTCATGAAAAGGTGGACAATGTTATGATTTGCAAGATGTTTTGTTTCTTCTTTTGGAAGAGTAATTGTTAAACCATGTAACAGGATATTGTATAATTCAGTTTTTGTATTTTATACTCTGTAGAGAGATTAATATGGCTACCAAAATTATTCATTTAATCTAAGCACATATTGTAATTTGCAGGGCTCAGATATCTTTTCAGCAAAAGTAAATATTGAAGTACAGATGGCATCTGAGCTAGCCATTGCTGCAATTGAAAAAAATGGTGGTGTTATTACAACAAGCTTCTATGACCCAAGGAGTTTGGGTAAGAATTTGCCTCTCATCCCCTCAATTCTTTTGGGATGATGTGTGTTTAAATCTAAATCCTAAATCTAGACAGCATTGGAAAGACTCCATTCATTCATTCATTCTTTTTTTTTTATTCCAGTAGGAGTGCTGTTAAATCAATGCATTCTAATAGAGATCTGCTACTCTCATAAAAGCAATACTAATTCATTTTTCCATTATTTACAGCTTTCTTCTCATCCTTACCTAGTAACTGATACCATATACATTGAGGTTAGGGAAACTACATTTAAGCAGTTTAGATTTGGGTGTAAGGTTGATTTTAGGTGAAGGGTCAGGGAGGGATGTGTTACACAATTCTGTAGCTTTTTTTTTTAAACAACTATCAACATTATATGCATATTATACGTGGGGAAAAATTGATAGTGAAAGTTCAGTGCTTAAGCCCTTCTTTAAGATCATACTAATATGCAGAACTCCAAATCATGTTTTGTAAATTCTTTCATTCAAAACTAGCACTCTTCTTCCTGGAAAATGGTCCCGTTTTTTTGGCAAAAAGCCAATTTATGGACTTGAAATGTTTTCAGATTGTAAAAATGATTTGTTTTTGGATCTCTTTCTGAAATAAAAGTTTGAGCATGGATTTACCCCCAAATAAAATAGCTATCACTTCTTTACAGAGTTTCAGTGAAGTATGATTTCTGTTTAGCTTGAGTCTGTATTTTGCCCAACATTCAAATGTACTATCTACTGTATTAATGGTGGTTACATTCATAAACTGAAGGCCAGACATGAGCCTTATTGAATTAATTGTATTATGTTGGTCTTGTCCATTCTTTTAAACCAATCAAAAAAACAAACCCTGACCATTTTAATTAAAAAAAAAAAAAAAAATGGACTGTTCCCATCCTTAGAGATATTCCCAATAAGCCATTTGGCATTTCTAAAGAGAGATTCTTATTAGGGCAACATATTTGAGAGTTCTAAACTCACAAAACAACTGGTTTGATATATGCAGCATTGTTGTAGTTGTTGACCCCAGTAGCTGTCGACCCCAGGTTATCTGAGACATAAGTTGGGGAGATAATGGCTTTTATTGGACCAGCTTCTGTTGGTCATCCACTGTGTCTCTCTAGCCCTGTTGTGACAGTCCTACACTAAAAGCAAGGCCTTTTAAGTACATGGTAATCTTCTAGTTCAGATTACTATACCATAGCTTTCTTTCCAAATGTGGCATGCTATCAATATTTGAAATGTTATTAAAACAGTCATTATAAAACTGGAGTATAAATCAGTTTTTTTAACAATATTTCAACTGATTCATTTGGATTATTCCATTTAAACAAACAAATTGATGGTTGATATCCCAGACTAAGAAAACATGAAGAGATTATCTCTCTAATTTACCTGCGACAAATTCATTCAGGTGAAATAATCTAGCAAGAGACTTCATGTATATAGTAGGCTTGTTCTTGAGGGAATATCCTCTAATGCTTTTGAACCTTGATTTAAAAACTGCTATCCCTAATTCTTTCTTTCTTCTCCTTTGCTTGCACATAGAGATTTTGTGCAAGCCAGTACCTTTTTTTCTGCGTGGCCAGCCTATTCCCAAGAGAATGCTTCCACCTGAAGATCTGGTTCGCTACTACACAGATGCCAAGAATCGTGGTTATCTAACAGATCCCTCAAAGATTCCAGAAGCCAGGCTTGAACTCGCCAGGAAATATGGTTATGTTTTGCCAGACATAAGTAAAGATGAACTTTTCCAAATGCTAAGCACACGCAAGGACCCTAGACAGATTTTCTTTGGTCTTGCTCCAGGTTGGGTGGTAAACATGAGTGAAAAGAAAATCCTGAAACCAACGGATGAGAGGTTGCTAAGATACTATAGCTCATGAATTCTGGGACAACTGCAGATGTACAGGAAACATCTGGATATGAAATAATGGATTAGAAGTGATGTTTGTTTTAAAGCACATTCTTATTGTACTAGTCAAAACATTAGTATACACTTGACTGTATAATACTAAAGGTACATCTTTTTTATATTGACTCAATACCATATAGTGAAAAGAATAGTCTTTCAAAAATAAATGTCAAAATTTCTCTTGCTGTGATTTGCGACTTGTTTCTTTGATTAAAAATATTTTGATTCTCTTATTCTAAAGAATGCTAGCCTAAGGAATAGGTCGTGCCAATAACTTTTCATTTATTTCCCAAGATCAACTTTTAATCGGTACTTCCATCCAACGTTTTAAAGCTTCTTTAAAAAAGGTGAAATGCAACTTGTAAACCACACTTCAGAATTTATTCAGTCCACACTTCAGAATTTATTCAGTGAATTCTACAAAACTGAATCCTCAACACTTTTGAGAGACACCAGTAGTAGTCTCATTTTACAGCTAGTGTTCCTGAAGCAGAGAGATTAAATAACTTTCCTGAGGCCATAGTAGTGACTTGACTGGTCAGTGGCAGACATAAATTAGAACACGAACTTTTGATTTAATCAGATATTTAAAACCAGTTTAGACACACGTGTGTGTCTAATCAGGATTTTTCTAAAATATTATAAATAGAAAATCTAAGCAAGTAAAAATGTATACAAAAAGCAGTATCAGCAAATGTTGCTGTTTTTATAGCCATTAACTTTAGATAAGGTGCATATATTAAAATTAGGAGTTTAGAGATAGGACATTGTAACTGAGCTGATTCTCGTTCAAACATAATGTACAAGTTTGGTCCAGTCACTTAATCTGCCCTGTGTGTCAATTATTTCCCATCTCTAGAATGAGAATAATTCTTTCCTATTTCCCAGGAGTAGTTAGAATAAACCTCATTAATGAGGATTTCATGAGGTGATTTTATATAATCTCCGCATGGGATACTGGAAATTATAATTAAAACTAAATCTAGCTAAGAAATTGAATTTTTCATCATGATTTTCCATTAGGAAAACTGAAATTGCAACAACCAACATTTTTCTTGAATTTTTTTTGGCAACCATATTTTCCAACAGATGTTTTAGAGTGAGAATCTTTAATCCGCTCTACTTTGAACATTATATACTCATGTGAAGGAATATTTATTTGGATGCCAGATTCTCTCCCCTTTACTCAATATAGATGAGCAAAATAGTACTTTGAAGCATCTGGGGCCTACTCCATCAATAAAGGATTAATCAACTCTCACTAAGTTAATGGAATGATTCCCATGTGTTACAATGGAAGTTGGATAAGGCACTAAACAGGGAGAAGCTGTTGGATCTCTTTCTGGCATGTTTCCTTTTCTCTTCTGCAGAAAGTCTAGAAGACCAAGACAGGCATGCTGGAAGAATTTGTCTAGTGGGGGGTGCTGAGAGCCATTGGACTAAAATAAACACTGTATATGATCAAAACCACTTTGAGCTAAGAGATGCAGTACCCTTAGTTCCAGCACCTATGCCAAGAGTTAAATAATATCCCTCTTCCCCAATCTAATTTTCAGGTACCTGAGGGAATTGTAAACATCTCTTAGCTATGAAATTATCCCATATCCTAGGGATAAGCTACTTATTGCCAGCACCCTTCTGTGCTCCCCCACTCTGACTCTATGGGGTCCAAGCCTCTGCTGTAGGCTTTAAGAAAAGCTATTTTTCTTCCTGCCTTCCACCTCCCTTTCTTTTTTTCAGGGTGGAGGGCTTGATGACTTGGTGTTTATCAACCCAGCTTCTTGAGCTGCTCAATTCACAGGTGGAATCAGAAAAACTAAGTGGGGAAAACCCTTCACATCTTCTCCATGATCCCAGTGAAATCTCACGGAGTCTGACAATCTCGCGTGGAATAAAATTTACATTAACAAAATAACTGTAGGTTTCCATTGTCCCAGATATAGATGCTAAGAAGTAATTGCCCCAGACTCCTGGCTTGCAGTTTAAAAGAAGCTGGAATATTGTGGTATAAAAGTGAGACCCAATTCCTGCTATTCAGTGGTGTTAATGTGAGCGTTTTTACAAGGTTCATAACTTTGGCATGTTCTTAAGTGATCCCATATGCCAAAAACATAGCTTCTGGTGTTATTTTGAGTGTGGAGTAAATAACTTTCTCATTTTACAGGTATCCTGTTATGCATCCTGATGATTGTTGGTTTGGAAACTTAAATGACAAGTGACACCTTTTTTTATTGTTACTACAATACTGGTTGCTCCATTTTTGGTGAGGCGCGGGGGGAGAAAATATTTATTGCCTTCCCTTATTTGTGCCATAATGTTTCTGTTTTTATGAATCAATTCACAATTGTACTTTGTGGAGGTAGTGGTACTCAACAGGAAGGCTACTGAGGTGGAAGCAAAGAAGGAAGTTAGTCATTTTAGTGAAGACTGAAGTGTAAGTGTGTGTGTGTGTATTGTGCATTTTAAAAAGTGATTTTGTTTCAATGTTAGCTTTCAATGTTTCAATGACACTTAGCAGGAGCAATTCAAGTCAGTGTCTGGTACAGACACTCAGACTTCAATTGTAGTAGATTTCTAAATGGCCTTCAGGTGAAGGGGTAATTCGGATAAAATGATAACAGTGAAAGAATGAAAACAGGAAACAGATGTCTGGTGACGTCTGGTGATTGGATAGCACTTATTCAGTGAACATCGTCTTAGTCACAAGGCAGCTGTATCCTGGTCCTGATATTATTATGCTGCAAATATCTTGGAGCCAAAACAGCCACGTTCCCCCAAATCCGGTTATTCTAACTTATAAAGGTGATTTTCTATTGACTTATACTTGGCTTTAGTTGCCTTAGTTAAAATATGCACTGCTTGTCTTTTTCTGCTTACAGTAGCTAGTAGTTAATAGCAGCGGTTCCTAGCTGCTAACTAAAAAATGGCAGAGCTATAAAGGAATTCCTGTTTAATTTTCTCTCATCAGCAGCACAAGTCTCCTGGCAACATAGTATAGACTTAATTTACCTGTGCTTTTGATATCAACGAAGTCTCTAATAAATCCATAACAAACTGCTCCCCAATGGAATGTCTTTCATATGCTGATCAAGTTCTCTTGTACATGGAGAAAAACAGCACTGGCATTTATGACCATTACATGTACTTATGTTAAGAATGTGCACAATGTTTTTACATTCATAAGATAAATGATTGCACTGGGTTTCCTGTTTTGTTAGGCTTTTTCATATGCAACAATGTGTTGCACAGCAAGCATATTGACTCTGCTGTAACAGGAAAGGCATTTATCAGGTAGCTCCAGGATGAAATAATTTCATTTGGTCCATAAAGTGTTGAGTAATATTTTTATTCCTGTATACTTCCTTGGAAAACATACAGAGGAGATAATACTGAAATCAAGATGACTTTTGAGCAAATATGTACTCACATTCCACTTCGAAAGCACCCGGTTCTTGAGAACTAAGATGGACTTTGCTTTAATATTAGTCAATCAGTACTATACCTATTGTGGATTTTAAGTGAAGCTGTAATTCAAATGTGCCTCTTCCTCTTTTGTGCACTTGTATAATGAAGATAATTGCTTGCGACTTGGAGGTATTTGAGGCTTTATTGGTTTGATTGTGCAATATTTACATTTTGTGAAGCATTCAATTGGTGGTATGCAATTCTATTAAGTGGGTAAATTAGTAGACTAATCCTGAATCTTCACTGGCTGTATGCCGATATCTTTTTGACATATGAGTGCAATCAATGTTAGAGCTACAGGAAATTATACAAAAGTGATTAGTTAAGATAATAGTTTCCCATTGCTACTTAATTTTCTTTACTAGAGTTAAAACAAATATACAAAATTATAGCTCAAATAAGGTGCTAATGCAAAGTTAAGATTTAACAATCAAATGCTCCAAAAAGTTGATTTCCCACATGTCCCCAGAGTGTTAAGTTGGAGACATTATACATCCTGTATGTTTGGATATTTTAACAGCATTAATAAAGTTAACATTTACATTAAAAAAAAATGCTGTGTGAATGGCCAACCTTTTTATGTTCCAGAGCCATCTTTAGCATATGCCCCACTTGCTCTGCCAACCTAGCAGTTGGTGAAATGTACAAGTTCCTCATTTATTTTTTTACACCCTATTCAACTCTTAATCACATGACCAGAACTTTTTTCTGTGGGCTGCCTGTGCAGCCTCCAGCCTTAAGTGCAGGATGGCATCTTCTCATTTCTCATGCTCACTATTACCACCATTCTTACAACAGCAGCATCTCTCTAGTGGGTGGGAGAAGAGGAATGTTGTCTCCTCCTTGTAGCTGTAGTCCATATAAGCCAAAGAAGAGTATTTCTAGAAAGAACATTTTGCACCAATAGAGGGTGAATGAGAATTGGGCCAATAATACCTAGCTTTTCCAATACTATTCATTAGCAGAGCTCAGTGTTGTACAAAGGGTGTTCAGTATCATTATCCATATTTTGCAGAGAGGAAGTAGAGGCAAAATGGCTTTCTTGGTATCATCCCACAGGCCAATGGCAGTGCTTGGGAACAGACCGCAGGCCTTCAGAATGTCAGTCCAGTACTTGCTCTCCTAGGAAAAAGGAAGGAAGGAAAAAAAGAATAAATAGAATAAAAAGATGTGGAGAAACAACGGCAACAACATACTCTTCTGTTTTCCTTTATTTCCCAGGCAGAAATCCTCAGTATCAGTGTTTCAGAGACAGGTGAGCCTAACATGCACTTACTAATGACTGCTAGTCTGGAATGCATAGTTCAGTAGTTGGGCAGGGAGAAAAGCAGAGTCCTCAGAACTGCACATAACTCCAATGGATGATTAAAAAGGGGTCTGTGACCATCACTCTTCTTCTCCTCCCCTCCCTGCTGCAGCACACAGCCCACTGATCAAAGTCTCAAAGTCAGGGAAATGAGCAGCTCTCTGGCATTGTCCCCCCACTCCAACCCTGCAGGATTCTGGCAAGGGCATATGATTTTTTTATATTACTTGAATAAATTATGTGTATTAACTAAGCAAGCCAGTGAACGTTGTTAATGCTTCACACAAATACTGCTTGGAAAAAGAATACTTAAATAGAAACTAGGAAAAAAATACCGCAAAGTACATTTAAAAACAGCTATTAGCATTGTTCAACACTGTCCAAGATATATAGCAAAAGCCAAGGTTATGCAGTACAATTCTGTTGTGCTTTAAAAAGGTAGCACTTCGTGGATAACTGCAGTAATACAATAGGAAACATTTTTAAAAGGACGCAAGTCTAACAATGAGGTTGAACTTTCAAGAACTTATATTAACAAGGGATTCCATCCCAGCAGTTCCTCAAAAGTATGTAGATGCTAAGCTCTCAGTGAAAGTGAATGGAAACTAAGTATCTAAACACTATTTTGGGCCTACTTGCTTGCTTATTAGATAGCATTCATATCACTGTGATGGGATATATAAGATAGAGTTAAAAGGAGTGGGCTCAATTAGTTTACCAGGTTACACCTGGTGGGTGTGTAGAATACATTTGCTATTAGATCCAGCTGTGTCTCTTTTCATGAAGGAATGAGTTCAGGGCAGTTAAAAGTGATGTGGGAGGATGGAGAACCAGGAGGAAAGTGGTGTGCTGTTCTTTTATTTTCTGAGGAAGAAACTGCAGAGAAGCTATAGGAGTAGAGTTGGCTCTTGGGCTGGGGCTGTGAAAAGCGGTAAGACTATAGGGAAATGACTGATAGTATTCTGCAGAGGAAGGGAGACTTGAGGAGGACCAAGGATGTATTAAATGCCCAAGTCTAGGCATGAGAAAGCAATCGCCTGCTTTTGATTATGATTGAGCTTCCAGGGAGAAGCCCTACAGTCTGACGGAAGCATGTACTGGAAAGAGGAAGTCCTGGAAGGCATGTCTACATTAGGAAATTATTTTGGAATAACTCAAAATAACTGTTTTGAAATAGCATGTCCACACTACAGGGAAGCCTCGAAATTAGTCCGAGGAAGGCTTCCTTAATGTGGACGCGCTACTTCAACTTAAAGCCCCAGGAAGCACTGGAGAGTAATTACTTTGACACTGGGGAGTAGTTATTTCGAATAATAACTATTGCTATTTTGAAATAACTCCTCCGAAATTAGCGTTATTCCTTGTGGCAAGCAGGAGTAGTTATTCTGAAATAACCAGTCCCTTATTTTGAAATAACTCCTATTCGAGAAAGGTGGGGCAGAATGTGCCCTGGCTGGAGATCCAAATCAAAAGAAGTGGATTGTCAGTTTGCCTGGCTGGCATTTAGAAGAGGTTATTGAGAAGGCTCCTTCACTGTACAGGGTGGGCATGCCAATTGGCGAGTCTGTCTTCTACAGTCTCATTTACCAACACAGTGCACAAAGTAATTGGAGAATTAAATTTTGTTTTTAGTGAGATTATAGATTCAAATAATGTTAAGAATGTAAACACTTGGATCTCTTTAAATAAAGATTTCAAAAACTGTAAATATATGAACAGCTGTAAATAAGTCTCTAGGTCTGCTTTATTTTAAAATTATTCATTGGCTTTTGTTTACTACACTATTACTGACCACAAATGTTCAAAAATTAGTCAGACCACAAAACGAGCAGACTTTAAAAAATAAATAATGGGTTCCTTTTACCAGCTTCTAGTTGTCAGCATTTGAGGGATTGCATTTTTTCTTTTTGCAACTCAGAGGGCAAGAAAATTGCTTTTAAATTAAATTTTAAAAAAACCAACTAAAAGCCTTGCATAATAGCATGTCTCGAGAAGGCTTTAGCGTTTTTCCTAAATATTGCAAGTCATAATAAAAGTCAGAGAGTTGGCAATAATCTCACATTTACAACACCCTCTGTTTTTTTGGGGGGGCTGGGGGGCTATTTCCTATTTCATTGTTTCAGACTGTAACTTCTGATCAGTCTCAACTTTTCACTTCTAATAACCAGCATCCCCAGCATGACAGGAAAATACAATCCCTAAAATTTTGTTTCTCTAATAAAGATTCCAAGCTTTGTTTTGCAGATTTTATATTACACAGTGCAGAGAGCTCCATCATTATGTAACTACCTAAAGAAAGAAAGACCAAACAAACCAAACCAAAGGTACAAGTCATGAACTCTGGTGAATTAAATTTTGGCTTGTCCAGCCTGTTTCCCTCAGGTGTGGGCAAGGCTGACACCTAGTGACTAAATGCATTTATTCCTAAGAAGAAGAGCTCTGTGAAGAGGTTGCTGGAATCGATGCTGCTACAGTCAATCTTCCAGGGTTCGATTTAGTGAGTCTAGCTAGATAATTTCATGGAAGTTAGGTCCATAAAAGGCTATTAGCCAGAGGATAAAATGGTGTCCTTGGCCTCTGTTTGTCAGAGGCTGGAGAGGGATGACAGGAGACAAATTGCTTGACCATTGTCTTCGGTCCACCCTCTCTGGGGCACCTGGTACTGGCCACTGTCGGCAGACAGGATACTGGGCAAGATGGACCTTTGGTCTGACCCAGTACGGCCGTTCTTATGTTCTTAGTAAAGACATGCTAATTCAAACTGAAATTGAACTCCTATCAGTGCCAGTACTCCTGATTCAGGCAGAGTAAGGAAACTGACGGGAGCTTCCATCAACTTCCCACTGTGTGGATGGAGATTTAAGATACATTGACTCCAACTATGTAATTAATGTAGATGGATTTGCGGATCTTAAGTCAACTTGCCCCTTTAGTGTAGAGCGGGCCAAGGAGTTCTTGGTGTTCGGCAGCACCCCCTGGACTGAAGTGGCTTCCATCATATATAGGTTTTACAGTTTTGTTGAATGGCTTCAGCACTGCTACCTTAAAAATTGTTCCAGTGCTATGGAATGCTAGCTCTGTGGAGGCTCAAAAGCTTCCCTCTCTCACCAACAGAAGTTAGTGCAATAAAATATATTCTCACCCACCTTGTCTCTTTATTCCTAATGGCCTTCTTATGTTTCAATGGGAATATTCTTTTTTTTTTTTTTAATAATAGTCCTACGTGTTAAGGCCTCACGCTGAGTCCTTCATTTAATTCTCTGAATCATAGTTGTCAATGTGACTGTTTTAGAAGGGTCTAGAACCGTGGGGTCTAACACATTAGTCATGAGCCACATGTGGCTATTTGGCCGGTTGTGTGTGGCTAGTTCACTATAGCAGTATCACTATAGTGGCTACTGCTTCAGAACTGGTTGGACACTGTGGTTCTAGAATACTCTTTTAAAGATCAAGTTAAACTGCTTTTGGAAATTTGTTGAACTGGCTGTATTATCTTAATTATTTACCCTAGCTGACTGTATCAGCTTAATTTTTGAGGTGGGGAGGGGGCAGGAGGAGGCAGTTCCATCAGAGCAGGGGTGGGCAATAACTTTTGGCTGGGGGGCCATTTCAGAAAAGTTTTAAGTGGCCCCAGGCCACACCAGAAGGGGCGGGGCCAGAAATTCCCTGCTTCCTCAGCCACAGACCATGATTGGTCTCAGGTTGGGGGAGTGCATGAAATCTTTGCCCCCCCCCCCACAAAGGTTCCCCCTAGGCGTCTATGGTCCTGGCTTTTGTCCTGAGACCATTCAGGATTTGGAGGCTTCTAAGCACAGGCACTTCTAAGCATGGTGCTTCTAAGTACAGGATGGAGAAAACTTTGGGTGTTTCCCCCCTCCCCCACTGCCAGGCCCTGATTAGCCTGGGGATGCGCGCGAAGCCTTCTCTGACCCTGCCAGCAGTGCATGGCGCTTCTAAGCACCGCATGCTCCTTGCAGGGCAGGGCAGAGGAAACTTCATGTGCTCCCCACACCCCCAGGCCAATCAGGGCTTAGGGGCAGGGGAGTGCACAAGTACCCAGGAGCTTGTGGTACTTCTAAGCACTGCACGCTTCTGGCAGGGCAGAGGAAACTTTGTGCACTTCCTCCCGCCCCCAGACCCTAAATGGCCGCTTCTAAGCACCGCATGCTCCTTGCAGGGCAGGGCAGAGGAAACTTCATGTGCTCCCCACACCCCCAGGCCAATCAGGGCTTAGGGGCAGGGGAGTGCACAAGTACCCAGGAGCTTGTGGTACTTCTAAGCACTGCACGCTTCTGGCAGGGCAGAGGAAACTTTGTGCACTTCCTCCCGCCCCCAGACCCTAAATGGCCCCGAGTTACTCGCGGGCGGCGGGACCACCCAGACGCCCGGCGGCCCCGCCACCGCGTCCTCCCGGGCGAGAAAAGCTGCTCCGGATCCCTGCTGTGCTGGGGGGGGGGACTCCCCCAGCACAGCAGGGAGACCCGAGCAAAGCCGCGGAGGCGCAGAGGTCCCGCCGCCTCTGCGGCTTTGCTCCTGTCTCCCTGCTGTCTCCCCTGTGCGGCTTTGCTCGGGTCTCCCTGCTGTGCTGGGGGAGTCCCCCCCCCCAGCACAGCAGGGAGACCCGAGCAAAGCCGCGGAGGCGCAGAGGTCCCGCCGCCTCTGCGGCTTTGCTCCTGTCTCCCTGCTGTCTCCCCTGTGCGGCTTTGCTCGGGTCTCCCTGCTGTGCTGGGGAGTCCCCCCCAGCACACTAGGGAGACCCGGAGCAGCTTTTCTCGTCCCGGAGGATGCGGTGGCGGGACCACTGCACTCTGGGCGG